TAAAACTGAGGTCCAAACTCTTCGTGGTCATTAAACTTTCCTGGAAGTTCCTCAAAAACAGTAGGGGTGTTACCCTGGTGTCGTGGCCAAAATTCTCCCGGACTTTACCAATGGGGCAGAGCAGTGGCTCTGTGGCTAAGGACCTGTGCCTGTGACTGGAAGGTTGCTGGTTCAAATCCCGCAGCCAGCAGAGGAATCCTACTCTGTTGGGCCCCTGAGCAAGGCCCTTAACCCCAATTGCTCCAGGGGTGCTGTACAATGGCTGATCCTGCGCTCTGACCCCAAGCTTCTCTCCCTGTCTGTGTGTCTGTGTCTCATGGAGAGCAAGCTGGGGTATGCAAAAAGACAAATTCCTAATGCAAGAAATTGTAAAGGGCTAATAAAGCAACATTATCATTATTATTATTATTATTATCATCATCATGACCTCCCCTGCAGTCTTTTATGCTTGTCCAAACATCCCTGCGATGAGATTTCTCACCGTTCCTCGGTGGATTTCAGCGTGCCTACCTGGACCTCCTGGCAGAGGTATCCAAGGTAGTATAATCCATCCTGGTGTCTCCTAGCCAGGACGCGGGCACCCCTGACAAGTTTGAACCCTCCAGAGGCACCATCAAAAGAAGAGCTTTCTACTGCTGAAGTCACAGGCAGCCTGCAGATCAAAACATGTAGCTAATAATGTTGTTAAAAAAGAACTGCAAACATTTAGGCTTTTATAAAATCCTCAATTTACATCCCAATTTATGGTTTGTCTTTTTTTCTTCATTACACTAATGATGAGCAATGTTTTACCACATTCATATCTTATCTACATGCATATCTACAGTAAAATACTAGAAAGGACATCGCTATTGATATCATTGATCACCCCACAGGCACTGTGACACTTCTCTCAGTTGACTCACTGTGAATGGAGACTTTTGCACATGTCTGTTACTGGCAGCCCTGCTCCACCGAATCTTGAACAACATGTAGGGATGCAAACCCAGGGCACTGCAATGCCCTGTACAGGCAACAGAGACAATCAGATCTAAGACAGACATGTGAGGAAAACCACGATCTACAATTCAAACCCCCTGCAGATTCAACGTTTTGGAAAGCGGAAAATAAAATGACTAAAAGGAAGAATAAATATATCAGTTAATGATCTGGGATATCAGCTTTAAAGTTTTGTTCTACTGTGTTTTTTATACACCGCAAAACACTGTACAACCCAACTCCTAAATGTGCAGAATTTACATGTAAATAACAACTATAATCTGAAAATGGTCAGACTGTTAATCAAATTAGCTATATTTTGTGCATGATATGATAGTAATGAAGTAGTAATTCTAAGTACGTAGTCTTCATGTGGCCTTTCAAAAAAATTAGTGCACAGTTCATCCTGTTTATGTTCTTTTAAGTTCATTTTGAGGCACAAAGGGCCTTTCTTCTTTTGCTTGCTGATGTGTGTACTTTGAATAAGGGCACAGAGACAAAACAATAGCGAAGGCCCGACACATGTAAGAGTAGTGAGATTCAGAAATGGAGATACACACCTCTGCCAGGGCCGACACACTGAAAGTACCTCCCGTTCTAGATGCAATTTCCTGCAGCAGCCAGGTGGGGGAGCTCTGGCCTCTCTCATAGCTGAGATAGATCACGTGGACTGGGGGCCTGGGTTGTAGCCAAGTGTTCACTGCGCAAAGGGGGCTGTCTGGCAGCCCATCTGTGACCAGGCACACAGAATGGCAGGCTGGGTCCTCCTGGGCAGCTCTAAGGGCAGTGAGGGTGGCCCTGGAGTCCGAGACAGACTGACTCTCCAGGCAGTGAATCCAGGAGGCAGCTTGTGACAGAGCGAGCAAACTGCTCGGGACACAGCGGTTCCTCCACTTCCTGACCTAGCAGAACGGCAGAAGAGAAGGTCGTTTTGTTCCTTGCATTTTTGCCAAGGAAAGAGATATTCCAAATAACAATTGGCTTTCAAAGTTTTCATTTTGAAATAATACCAGCAGTACTTTCGATCCACTTGTCTTTGACCACACGCATAAGGCTCTATCCTTCATTTCATTAACTCTAGCTTTCTGTATGTCTCTTTGTTTCCATCTCATGAGCTGCAGTGTTTCTCCCAGCCTTCAAATTCAAATCACGCCACCGGCAGTTTTAACTGTCTTTGCACACTGGTGTATCTACATAAGTGTGGTTTATTAAGAGGACGGGCGTCATCCTTGGGACACAGCTGAAGTCTGTGCAGGACACTGTACAAAAGCAGAACCTGAGGAAGACCACACTTATAGTGGGGAATGTGTGTCATCCTCTCCACACAGTGATTTTGGATCACAAAAGCCTCATCAGCGTCGCTGTTAAGCTCCCTGATGCACCACAGAGTGGTTTAGGAGATAATTTTTACCCATGACCATCTGTGCCCTGAGTAGCTCGTGAGATTTTCAAGATTTTTTATCTTGGACGTTTACTGTTTTTTGACTGTTGTTTTAAGAAGAGTGTACTACATGTCGTGGTGTCAATGTAAGGCATTATATGTCTGTTTTGGAGTAACTGTCATGTCTGTGTAGTGTTTGCATGCTCTTTTACTGTATGTCTATGAGCTGTGCTGGCAACTTGATTCTCTCCTGGGGAGTAATAAAGTGTACTGTAATCCATTTGATAAATGAATTAAATGGCACAAACCTAGAGGAGGGTAGTTAAAAATAAAACAGATCATAGATGGAAGATCCATTTGATCATTCAGACAAAATAGGTGCAAATCTCCCCTGACACAAAAACTGAATAAGATGAGTACAAATATCAAATAATTGGTCTATAAAAGGTTTTAAACAACACATAGAGACAAAAAAGTAAACAAGGCACATTTATAGGCGCACTTGGGATCAAAACACATATTTAATTCTAATGCATAAATCAGAGAAGAAGAACTGCCAGTGAGCTGTAAATGGTTGTATGTGTTTTATGTGAAACTACAGTGTGATATACAGTACATTACAATAGCAGAATGTGCTAGTTGTGTTTCGGGTGACAACGATAATGAGTGCATGTTTTGGTCCTTAAATGATCTACAATGCCCACAAGTGAGCTTAGTATACTACATGTAAGTTTAACTTAAATTGCTCTTTCAACGAAACTGTTTAGGTGTATAATAATACAAAGTGTAAATAAAAAAATGAAGAATCCAATTATGTTTATAAACAAACTTCATGTTTCGCACTTCTTTTGCAAAAATTTACTGACAATTGTTTTTGTTTAAATAAACAAAATGCAGTACAACCCTTTATCTAGAGATGCCCTATGTCTTTATCAGAATAGAGGATGCGGAGATTCTCCATTTAAAATAACAGCCTATTGTGACTTAATATACTTTTGTTATTAATCAGTAAATTAAAGATGCCTCGAATCCCTTAATTCAGTCGAGGCGGCTAACGAGACTTGGGATCAGCCAAACGAGAGCATGAGGAAATCGAAGACTGGGACTTTTGTGAATATATTTGCAAAACCTGTATACAATAAATATTCTGTAGTAGTTCTTAAATACGATGCAAGTGTTTTTAGTCTGATATTCGCTCACATTGCAGAGCGTAGTTAAACTTAAGTAGTTAAACACATTAAGCAAATCAACAGTCATTTTAGGGTAAGAGGACGGTGTTTTGCTCCGGTATTTTGCGCCCTGATAAAACATCAGGTCGAAAATGAGCATGTTAATAGCATCATTCATGGTGTTTAACTTACCTTAGAAGTATTCAGACATTCAGGACATAAATGCAGAGAACGCGTACATGCACTATTAATAATTAACCCTTTTTTTTAAAAAAATACAAGTAATACTAAGTACGATTTTAAAAAAGCCCATCTAAAATCAGATTTTAAGGCTCCGTGATCTACAGCTTTAAGTATCTCCCGTTACAGAAATACCCAGAACCCAGAAATGCCTAACTTCAGGGCAAACACTGTGTTTTTAATGACGGTGTAAATAAATCCGAAACCCACATGATGGATATAGCAAAGGCAAAAAGTTTTTTTTTTTTGTTTTTGAATGTTTCTGTGCAGATGCGGGTGTGCAGTACCTCGCTGTTGAACTCCACGATGTTGAAGCTGAACTGCGGCTGCGCGCCCGCCCTGCGGAACAGCGCCCGGACGAGCTGCTCCTTCACGCCCCGCAGCCGCAGGTACATGCTTCCCGAGGTGTCGAGCACAAACGTGATGCCATCTCCCACAATCGTCTCAAAAAGGTTCGGGGGGCCGCAGGCAAGGCACTGCAGCGGCTGATGCGCCAGCATGGCGATGGGGTCCAGCCTGACACCACGGGGACGGGTGCACCCCGAAACCTGCACCGAGAATGCTGAGCTGTGAAAATAAAAAAAAAAATACAACAAAATCCCCGTGAACTCTCCCAATCTGGTGTTACATCAAGATAGACTCGATTGATCTTGTTGCTGAAGAGGAGTGCAGTCCATCAGGGTTTAGGTCACGCCTGAATTAACAATCCCATTTACACCGGTGATCCAGGCAAATTTGTGCAACTAGCAATTTACACAGACTTCTGAGTTGAGCTCGTAAAAAAACTTTTATGTCCCGCTTGACTAACGGGGGTAATTTATAGGGTTAATGTGGTTCTTTCTTTACTAGTTCCGAAATAAGTCATATCAGGAATCAGTTCTTTTTACAAAAATGTTTCTTGGTGTTTTTGTCCAGATGTCGCTGAGTGAACTGAAGCCGTGTGTGTCTGTTGACTGTTGCCAGGTGACCGAAGACTCGCCCATAGGGACTGAAAACTATCAAGGGGAGGTGATAAAGTAGGTACAGTAAGGAAAGGTGGGCTTTTGACGGACAAAAACCCAACATAATATTATTTTTTATATTTAAACATAATACATATTTTAAGTAAGAGATTTGCCGTTTTTAGCATTTTAATGATGTCAGGCGATGTCAGGAGTTTTAGCAGTTCCCCAGCATTTAAAGGATGCTTAGTCTGAGACCTGAAAAATTGATAACATGAAATACTGAAAAACCTTGCAGTTTCCTTTTTTTTTAAAAATGCGACGTGCGTTTCAATGGTGTTACGGGGGCGTAATGTAAAAATCAATAAGAAATGACATTTTTAATGACAGGCATCCAAAACAAAACTTTATGTGTTCTTTTGGATGTGGGACACATTTTGATTTGTCTAGTGCAAAGTTTCGCCCGAGCTAAAAACTCCCAAGGAGTTTATTATTAATAATAAAAGTATTATAAAGACTTGACACAATTTTAAAAACAAAAACTGACCATCCCTTTTCTTAAACAGCTATTTAAACGAGAACAATGTAAGAAATACGTTTACCATACAGCCTGCCTAAGATCACTAAATAAAAGTCTTCGGTAATTCCTATATAATGATACAGATTTTATTAAAGCTCAACACTTGAACTTTGACCCCAGTCGCTGTGTGGAGCGGACCAATAACAGCGCTCGTTATTGAGAGGTCGCTTCAATAGCGAAAGGAAGGTGACATTTTGCTACAGCAGGAGTTTCAAGAGTGAATAACCCTTGAAAACCAGCAGGATAGAGCGAGCTAAGAAAGCACCATGTCTTCTCTTGTGAGGGCTGTGGCGCAGCTGTTTCGTCGCGGAGCCTCGAGAGCGGGAGGGACGAAGTAAGTTTAATTTAAGGCTTGTATGAAACCGCTCAAATGCAATAGACAGTGGAGTGTTATTTTCACGACTTGCATGTATATATATATACACACGTATACATATGTGTGATCCTTAATGTAGTTGTTAGTTATCCAAATACGCTTCTAACAAGAAAAAATGAACTGTCTTCCATTTGGTTATGTCATCTAATATGTGTTTATTGAAAGAACAACAGCTGCATAGGCAATAAAACATCAACACCACTCACCCTGAGCACTGGAACTCCACAAGGCTGCTGTCTGAGTCCAAGGTTGTACTCCCTATTTACTCACGACTGCACAGCAAGACACAGCAACAACCGCATCATTAAGTTTGCCGATGACACCACTATAATAGGCCTGATCAGTGATGATGACGAGTCCACTTACAGGGATGAAGTTGTACAGCTGCTTAGGTGGTGTCATAGCAATAACCTGGACTTGAACATAAAGAAAACGAAAGAGCTAATAGTGGACTTTCGGAGACACAGGCCACACACTCACAGCCCACTCAGTATTGATGGAACGGAAGTGGAAACAGTCACCAGTTTAGGTTTTTGGGAATCCACATCTCTAAAGATCTAACCTGGACTGTGAACACTGACTCTATCATGAAGAAGGCTCAGCAGCGCCTTTATTTCTTGAGGTGCCTCAAGCGATGGGGGATGCCAATACATGTGTTGGTGAACTTCTACCGCTGCACTATCGAGAGCGTCCTCACCAACGGGATCACCGTTGTGGTATGGCAACACCTCTTCGCGAGAAAAAAAGGCACTGCAGAGAATGGTCAATATGGCCCAGAAGATCATCGGCTGCGGTCTCACCGAGATTAAACAGCTCTATGATGACCGCTGCCGTGGTAGAGTTCTGGCCATCACAGAGGACAGTCACCACCCCGGGCATGAGCTCTTCACCCCACTGCCCTCAGGCAAGAGATATAAGAGCATACAGTCACTTACCACTAGATTCTTCAATAGCTTCTATCCACAAGCAGTGAGACTGGCGAACACATTTAGCCATCCCCCTCGGACCACACCTACACCATCACCATCTACCTCATTGTAATTTATTTATTGTACGTCTCCAGTCATTATTTACACGTCTGTATTGTTTACATTCAAACTGTCTGCATGTTTACTTGCACATTGTCTATTGTTTGTTTGTACATTGTCTTGATGCACTGTTTGCACTTTGTTTTGTTTTTTACACTTGTTTTACAAACGAGAGACTTTCTGTAAGTAAGAATTCCATTGTACCAGTACCGGTTACATATGGCGATAAAGTTCAAGTTCAAGCATTAAGCTTTAGATATGAGATTATTGTCTGAGAACGTTATCGAGGAGGCTTTTTTGTATCACCTTTCTTATATATTTGTCTTTGCTTCAGCTGCCTCTAATGTGATGTGTAATGATAACAACGTGCATTTCTAATGCGCTTTTCATCCCCTAGGATTCCAAAACGCTTTACATAAGAGGATACCCACATCATCCACCACTGAAGTGCAGTATCCTGGCTACACAATAGGTCAGATGGTGAAGTTGCTTCACCAGTTGATTTAAGAGCGAGCTTTGGGCATGTCCGATATTACAAACATGAAATTGGATTTAACCAGGACATTGGGGTTAACACCTTGACACTACTGAACAGTGCCATGCCATACTTAAAGATCATGTAGTAGGGGTTTGGGAAAATGTCCTGGAGACAATTCAGAATGCTGTATATTTCAAGTATTTGCATAAAGCTCCTTAAATCATATCATAAAAAGCTAAGCATTTTTCAGCAATGCAATACAAAGTACATTTATGGAAGGTTATTCACAATATAGGTTATAATGGTTTAGTGTTGTGAAGTAGCCCAGCAGTTATATCACCCTGCAACTCACAACTGGTAACCCACTAAAGCTAAGCAGGTGTGAGCCAGGTCAGTACCTGGATGAGAGACCTCCTGGAAAAGCTAAGGTTGCTGTTGGAAAAGGTGTTAGCTGCAGTATAGTGATGGGGACACTATATTTTTTTTAAAAAAGGGTCTGTCCTTTAGATAAGAAGTAAAACCAAGGCCCTGACTGTTACTACAAAATCCCAGGGTGTTTCTCAAATAGTGTAGGAATGTTAACCCCGGTGTCCTGGCCAAATTTCCCCCGGCCTTTACCAGACATGGCCTCAAAATAATCCCCATTTATGAATTGGCTTCATCACTCTGCTCTCCTCCACACTGGTGCACTTTGGCTGCCATTGCATTATCCAGGTGGGGAGTCCCCATTATCTGTAAATGAATGTGAACTGATCAAGGAAGAGGAATATGTAGTGACTGAACACATAATTCAGTTCAAACCTTCATTCAGGTTGCACCAACTCTGAATTTTACAGTATTTCCATTGGTGGTTAGGGGAATAAGGGTGAGAATGTGTGTGAAAGCTAGTGATGAGGCTTGGATTAAAAACAACATCCCTCTGTTGCTCCCACACACCACATTTAAGTCTATGACAGTGCACAATGCACAGAACAGTCAAATTAGAGTGCATAATTCTGTCTCTTTGGAGGTATGTTGCTATTCAAGGACATGTAAAATGGACTAATTAAGTTTTTTTCACTAAACAAAGACATATAATAAAGACCAGGCAGCGAGGTGGTTAGCATTGTTTACTTGCAGAGCTCGGGCCTGGGTTCAATTCCAGAGGTGCTATATGCCTGGAATCTATATGTTCTCCCCGTGTTTGTGTGGGTTTCCTCTAGATGCTCCAGTTTCCTCCCACAGTCCAAATACATACTAGTTGGATTATTGACTTCTTGGAAAATTGGCCCTGGTGTAAGTGTGTGTTTGTGGGACTGTCCTGGAATGTATTGGTGTCCCATCCAAGATGTGCCCCACCTCTTGCCCGTTGCTCCCCAATTACCCTGGAGTGGAAGAAGCGATTTGAAAATGATGGATGGCTGATTTCCTACGCGTTCTCTCATCCCAGCGTTTAATCCCGCATCAACAGGGTCCGCTTGTCGGCACGCCCGTCTCCATTTGGTGGTTTGAACCCAGTCTTTGAGCTGGCGCTGCCATTAAATGCGACCGAGAAATACTCCAACCGGCGCGTCGCTCCGTCTGCCGGCGCGATTTCCTACGTGTTAATATGTTTCATTTTCTATGTGAGGTCCCGGAAGAATCAGGAGTACTGTCAAGACACCAGTGTAAACTGGAAAAACAAATTCTAAGAATCCTAAGCCTGTGAACATAAGAGTACTTTCTAATGTTTGTCTTGAGAATGCAGGACCCCTGGCGCAGAAACGGGGATGGATTTATTCAAGCGTTACGTGTTTCGGCCCTTCTGATTTCCGCGCTGGTTCTTGTGTTTCAGTGCCGGAGGAGCCGTCCACGTCGGGTTTCGGTACAGGGAGTTCCCATACATCTCCCGAAAGGAGACGTTCCACGCGGAGTTAATCAGTGGTGCCATGTGGTTCTGGATTTTGTGGCACTGCTGGCATGACCCGGATGAAGTGACGGTGAGTTATATTTAACGTTGAGATTTAAAATGGGGGAAATAAAATCCGTTTGGTGTAGAAAACGGCAGCACACTTCACACAAAGAGCACACTGTGGAGCTGAAAATAGCTGGGACTTTGTTACAGACTTATTGTTGAAACTCCCTTAGTAAGATACTAAGATGGCTGAAACACCTTTCTCTGTTTGTTACCTCTTTACTTGGACAAACTCTCACTGCACTAACAGCCTGTATTCTTCTTGGTATTGTATCGACTAGATGTTGTAGCTCACTATCCCTGTGTTTTTTTAAAATTTTGGGAGAATTGAATCTAATTAGAATATATTGGTGTTGATGTGGACCAGTTGCCAAACACTGAAGATTAAGGTACTGATTGGATGCACGTCTTTGGACTAGCCAGGGAAGATGTAAATTGTTTTTACTCCGTTATCAGACAGTTGTCACATGCAAGATCTGTCTTGTGACACCATCACCCTGAGGAATTCTGCAGACATACCTCAGTGCAGCGTGTCTCTTGCGTACTATTCTAGTTGACAGTTGTCTAACTAGATATGTCTATGTAAAAATGAGACATTTTTCCTGTCCAGTGATATCTTGTCGAACCACGTATCCTGCCATTTCACTGGATGTGTGTCTATTGATGGAATGGCTTCACTTTGAATCCGATGTTTGAATCAGTTGGTCAAAGGATTTGCAACCAAGTACAAAACATGACAATTTTATTTAAGATTATGTCAATGTGTCCAATTACTTTTGGTCTCCTAAAAGGAGAGGACTATGCTTTGATTCCTATATGGTTCACCCAATATAGATGTAAATACCCTCAACTTAAAGCTAACATTCTGCACTTTAACTTCATAGTCATTGTTTCATTTAAAATCCAGTGCGCTGGAGTACAGAGTCAAAACAACAAAAATTGTAACACTGTCCAAATACTTACGGACTGCACTGTATATTTTATGTGTGTGCTTAACACCTTAATGCAGAGAACATACGTATGAATGTGTGTGGATATTATAGATAAGGAAGACATTCTTGATGCTGATAGTATGTTGCAGGATGTCTGTTTAAAGTATTACCAGAGTATAGAGGGTGTTATGTGATCAGGTAAGAAAACAAGTTATTTTTTTAATTCTTGTTAGGGTCACTTCCCCTGGCCTGACCCATCAGAATGGACTGATGAGGAACTAGGGATCCCACCCGATGATGTGGAGTGAAGAAGATTCTTACTTCAGTTGTCACAAAGGTAAAAGTGTTCTGCAGTATTGCTTGAGTTCTCTCCAATATTCCTTTGCTATAACTGCTTGATTTGCTGACTGAGATCCAGCAAAATGTCTGTCACTGTGAGCCACACCTGTTGACACCATACTGGTTTTGGGGGTAAAAGTGTCATTGATATTTTTAGAAGAGTTTTCCTTTTCCGTCTTCTGTAAGATGAAAAGAAGACATGCCTCCCACTGCAGCTCTGCCTGACAGCATTATAGATTGACCCAAACGCTTGTGAACAAGATAGATTAAAATAAACCCCAAAAAAAGTTTCTTTGCCAAGCAGTTAGTGTGCTCTCCAGGAAAGAAAGAAAAAAATAAAGCTGTTGTCAAATTTCTGTTTCTTAGGGGGTGTAGTGGATTGCTTAGATTAGTCATTACATTGAATTTGTCAGATTTGTGTGCCACTTTGAAGAGGTTTGAGGGTCACCACATTTTCTTGGCTCACTCTACTTGGTGTTTATGATATCTGTCTTAACATCCAAGCACCTCTCAACCATGTGCGTTTACAGCAAGTGAAGCTGCAATCTCTTCATATAGGTGTGCTTGCGCAGCTGTTGTTACATAAGCATTGGACGCCTTGACTGACAGTTTGTGGAAGTTTGAATTTTTTTCTAGAGCATGATTAAAAAAGTCTGATACAGTAGTGGTCTTTTAATATTTGATACTAGTGACATGTTCGCATGTTTTTGTGTAATATTTCACTTTTGATCTGCTACTGATGATATCCTTATTCTTGCTGCTCAGTTACCAACCTTTTTTAACACAAATCTTGTGAACTAAATCTTCTGAAAAATATATACAGCAGGTGAGATTTGCATTAAATTTATTACTCTGGATTTTGCAAAACATTTAGTCTCATTGTTTGATTTCAGTGGTATCCAACAAATACATGATAGCAGCATAAACAATGATATATTTAGTCTTGTTGCATAGATTTAGAATAATTTAGAGTGGATTTCTACTTAATGTAGTTCCTGCACCTAAGTATGGTATAACAAGGGATGACTCTAAACATTACTTATAGGCCTATTACTTGTTCCTCTGCAGACTACGCATGTTGACGCAGCTACCCACCTTAACTGCTGTTCATAGGAAATATCTTAATATTGTTACATTCCTTTAGATTCTCCTGCTGGGGGTTGATGTTGAAGAATGAAGGAAGTGGCCTCCACCCAGACTGTCTTCAGATCTTCAATATTGTATATATTATATTAAATTTTGGTTCTGTAACTTGCTTTGCATATGCTGTTTTTTCTTACATTATAGTTCAGTAATTAAGTGTGTTTTTCTGCTTTCTGACAAAAGTTACTTAACTTAAATAGAACTGAGCTAATGGTCTGTTTTTAGTGACAATTGGATTCAAGAAATGAAACTGGTTACTAAGAAATCTTTTTTAATATTTACAGGCAATTTTGTCAAATACATAAAAATTAAAATATTCAAAGATGCATTGCAATGAGTAACAAAGTCACAAGACCTAAAACGTTTTTTTCCCAAATCAAAATATGAAAATACCTTTAAAACATCCAAACAATTTTAGAAAACCAAAAAAAAGGAAGAGAATACACAATGACCATCAATAGTTAACACAAAACTTGCAATTAAATTGATCTAAAAACAGAATTAAAAGCCAAATAAATACTGTACAATTCATAGTACTGCATAATACATACCCTGCCTGCAGGCCAGTCATTGATGTACATAAGCTCTATCAAAAGATATGACCAAAGAGGAAATTATTTGAATGTGATATGTGAAAAGCAATTAGTGTTCAGTGAAACTCAATTCAGAGCTAGAAGAAGAAATTGGCAATGTGAATTTTAACACTTCAATGCAGCATACGTTTATGGGAAAAGCATTATATATACTCTGCTTTGTATCAGGCTTCTGATTTGTGGAGCAGGCATACAATACAGTACTAAGCAGTAGAGCCAGTCCTTTCCCTTGAGGCCAACAAGTTGACAGCCCTGACAATTGCAGCAGTGATCACAGAGCATACAGTGTGGCAGGTCATGCTAGGAGGTCCTTGTTCTAGCCTAATAACAGGGAGTTCAAAAGCCACTTGACAGGCTCAAGCTTAGGAGAAGTTAGTGCAATATATGTTGCCAGTTAAAAACCACAGTGCGTGATCAAGCCTGAACACCTCATTTTACATCTTGGGTAAAGAGGAAGTCTAAAGATCTTAGGTAGAAAAAAAAAAAAACTGCTCTTCCAAGTTTAATATCCACTTTGTCGCAATGATCTCAAAAGTGGCCAGGTCTACAGATGGCAGGCAATGCACTGATTTTCTACACTTGCAGTACCAGAAAGCACCAAATGGTCATATGCTATCTGGACAGACTGCACCAGATCAGCAAGCATTGTGATGACTGTGGTTTTCTCATGCAAGTTGGCGTGGGTTTTTACAACTCACTCGCATCCTTTAACTAAGGATCACCATCAAGTTGTAACATTCGTCTGAAGCAAAAATGTCATGTACTAGGAAAATGGAAATATATACCTTTATATAATGTATGAAGACTAACATTAAAACGTTGTTTGATTAACCTCATTATACTGAAATACAACTTGACATGGAGAAGATGGGCCCGATAAGTGCCATACTATGCCAATGAAGACTTGTAAATATCTATCCCATTAGGGTAGCAATGCCCAACTGGTCATGGAAAGATCTCGCACATTTCTGTTCTCATTCTATTTATGTTTAACTGAGCCAGGTGTTCTGTTAAAAACTTGTATCATGATTACCATGATCACCGCTGGCTGACTGAAATGAAGGCTTTGCTAAACAAGGGATGATGGGAATGTACTAAAATAGTGCTACTAATTACTGCCATGCAGGATGACAACTAGGCTTCAGGTACACTTGTGGCTTTATTACCACTCGCTCTGTTCTCTTGTGGTTGTGACTGTATAATGAAAGACGATTCAAAAGTGATGGACGTAGCACAACAGTTTCTTTCAGCCACCAGAACTCCTCCATCATGCAGTTATCTCCATGATCAAGTAGGAAGGAAATAATACCTCCCACGTAGCTTTCCTTAAAACAGAATCCACAATTTCAAGGGCCTACAGAGATAAACCAGTGCCTAAAAATGCAGATCTAGAAAGGTAGCTAGTACAGCCGAGTATTGTGCAGTCTACAGATCCACTTACATGCCAAAGCAACTTGTAACTTTCATTACCAGAAAATATTCAAAAGTCTTCTTGGGGTAAAATTCTCTTGGGTGTCTCTGCAGTATGGGATGACAGCCGCCCACACTAAATTTATTCTTAATTACATAATACAATCTTAATGATTCATATCTTATTTGAATGCTCTAATTATACTAAAAAATGTATAACACTCAAGATGAATATGATTCTCATTCAAATAGGGCTGTATTACTATCTAAAAAATCCTTTTTACTTGCTTACAAATGGTTTTAAAACTTTAAGGAACAGCTACTGAGGATCAAAGTTTTTCGGATGCTCTGACTGTAAAGTGAAAACAAAACCAAGCCAGGAATCCGATGAAAGGGCTCCACTCTGACATTTAAGCTACTAACAAAGAGACTTTAATAATGTCAACCTTCTGTCATATTCATTCAACAAAATGAATTTCTTCAATGACTATCAGTCCCTGAGAAAGACCTGCCATCATCAAAAGACAATGCTCTGAATAGCATGAAGAAAACAGAAAACCTTAATAAAGCAATGTAATCACCTGAAATCAGCACACATTGGCTTGAAAACTGCATCCTAAATGCATAAATCCTAATACTGAGTAAGAACTACACCTGGATCTGCAGCAGTGCCATGCTGCGTCACAGAAGGAACATGAAAACAATAAAATGTCCAAAGCAATAAGTAGCTTTCTGATATGAAAATCAAAAGGGATATATTAAGAATGCAGGCTAATGTATGCTACACATTAAAACAAATCTCTTTACAAGCTCCAGACGTTCAGGAGCAATCAACTTAAAATAGATTTTTTTCCCCATTTAGTTATGCTTTTGTACTGTAAATGTACCATGAGAAAAGAATCCAATATTATAGAAATGGAAATAAAGGTCATTAATTATAATGACATTTGTTTTGCAAATTTGTAGACTGGAGCAATAACAGAATCGGACATCTAACAGTGCAGCACATTTGGTTATCTTTTTCCACATATCTCCTTAGCAATTAGAAGGAGAAATAAAAAAGTGAGGAAACTTTGAAGAACTGATGTTCAATGTTGTCTTATTTCAGCTCTTCATTACAGTGTAAAAGGGGAATTTGCACTTCCAAGTTTTTTTCAGGCTGGTAGCCAATTAAGCAAATGCTTTCTTGATTATATGATGTTCACTACGAAAGAAAGAGAAACAAACAGAAACAGTAGTAAAATCCTAGAACAAAACTGAGCTTATACAACAAAGCAATTCAAAATATCAGCTACACAAGCTGAGGAGGGCTTGGCGTTGAAAGCAGAAAAGACTGGATGAGCAGTAATTATTTCTGTGAATCTGACAGGGACTGAGTTGCTGTTCATGTCCAGCAGCTTGGGTATGAATGCATGAAAAACAGAAGCATTTTTCTCTCTACCACAAACCCAAAGACAAGAGAAAAGGTTTCACATCAAAACCGGAACCTGAAAGAAAATGAAAACTAAAATAGACATCATTCACCTTTTTTAAATAAATAATTCAAAAGTCATCAAAAAAAAAAATAATAAAAACAAACAGAAAAATTAAAACTCTGACTGAAATAAATTAACTGGAAAACCACGGCTTCGTTTCTCCCCTCTATAATGTAATGCTTTCGGCAAAAGTAAACCAGTTTTTTTTTTTTGCCATTTCACAAATCATTTTGACAGCAGCACTCCCAGACATCACTGCTCTGCCTTCACAGTGGATGAAATGAAACCAGCCCGTCTACGATTTCCCAGAGTAGCCTTACTCTACTAAAATACCAATTGCAAATTATGTCTACTCCTGGGGCTTTCTGAAACTGTTCTGCCACTAGAATATGGCTATGGTATATAGTATAACTGCAGTGTATGGCTTTGAAGAGTTACATCATAAAGCCATTCAGGGCATTTATTTAAGAGCTACTATATACTGTAACTCAACCATGTTACTCAACCATGACTTACAGTATAACCACTGTCCAAAATATTAAAAAAGACAGATCCAATGAATGGCCTGTCTCAGTAACAGGTACCTCGTAGTTCGATGATAGAACATGAAACCACCTTGATATTTTGACAAATACATTTTTAAAAGCCATTTAGATTTTGAAGACTCTGTGTGGGCAAGATTATATTTCTACATGTAGCTTTAGTTTTGTCAATGAAAATGATGCCGTCGCCCCCCCCGTTCGGGAAACGTGAAGCACTGCTAACACTGACAGAGATGCAGGAGCAGGAAGACCTTTTGGGAGTCTAGGGAGTGCTTTTATCCTGTCCAACCACCTCTCCTGTATCTTATTGCTGGTTTGAATGCAAAAAACGAGAGCAAGGGAATGAGGGATGAGAAAACAGCACCATTCTAAACCAGCCCTGCACCTTGCAGGTACAGACGAGGCACCACTGTTTGCCCAGGGCTGTGAATTTCAGGGTGACAGACAAACATACCCAGTCTCAGGTAGCGTTTCTCAGGGCTGCACAGAACAGCCTTTTTACTGGCTAAAGCGCAGCACTTTCATGGTATTGCAATTTGCAGGGTTTTTTTCCCCTTCCTCTGACATAGATCTTCCCCAGAGAAAGAAAAAGTCAATGCCGAAAGCAGCCTGTGACTAGAATGCAAAGACATGTGGCATCAATACGGAGTTGGCAATATAAGAGCAGAATTCATCTTCCATTCCATATCCCCACTGTAGAAGCCAGGGGCAACAGAGTCCTCCTCTTTCAGTGGAGAGATTCCAAGCATGTTTCCTTGAGCTCAGATCCGTTCTTCTCTCCCAGAGTCAGCTTTGTGACGCGCAGATTTCCGAGATGAGTCTCCTCCCGTAATACGGCTGCCGAAGATTCCACATGCTGCCTTTTTTTTTTCCTCTCCTTTGTCTGGTCTGAATTGTGTAGTGTGCAGCTGTGTGCTCGCTAGTGTAAATCTGATACCCTGTCACCTAAACTTGCACAGTGAACGTGTAGTGTTAAGGTCATTCCTCTTCTGTGCTCCAGGCAGTGATTCTACAGCACATGTGTCTCTCAACAACAGGACAGATAAACCCTCAGGGCCTGTCAGGACCCGAAACCCACCCCACTACTCCCCACCCACCCCCACCCACCAGCTCAAACTGGAAAAACCAGTGTCTTTTTTTTTCGACTTTTTTCCTCCCAGAGTCCCCTCCGTTTGTGGTTAAACGAAGAAGCGGCTGTGCCGATTCAGCTTGAGGATTTTCCCCAGTCTCTGCTTCGCGGTAGCCATGCCCTTTTTAGGCCGCTTGCCTGCAAAAAAAAAAGAAGAAAAACCATGGATGTGAAAAGTGACCTGTCTCTCACTCTGCAACTCACAACTGGCAGCCCACTGAAGCTCAGCAGGTGTGAGCCTGGTCAGTACCTGGATGGGAGACCTCCTGGGAAAAACTAAGGTTGCTGCTGGAAGAGGTGTTAGTGGGGCCAGCAGGGGGCACTCACCCTGTGGCCCACGTGGGTTCTAATGCCCCAGTATAGTGACGGGGACACTATACTGTAAACAGGTGCCGTCCTTCGGATGAGACGTAAAACCGAAGTCCTGACTCTCTGTGGTCATTAAAAATCCCAGGGCGTTTCTCGAAAAGAGTAGGGTTGTAACCCCGGCGTCCTGGCCAAACTTCCCATTGGCCCTTACCAATCATGGCCTCCTAATAATCCCCCTCTATGAATTGGCTTCATTACTCTGCTCACCTCCCCACTGATAGCTGATGTGTGTTGAGCATTCTGGCGCACTATGGCTGCCGTCGCATCATCTAGGTGGATGCTGCACATTGGTGGTGGTGGAGGGATTACCTGTAAAGCGCTTTGAGTGGAGTGTCCAGAAAAGTGTAAGCATAAGCATAAGTGTAAGCAATTATTATTATTAAATTAATGCCAAAATTGTGACAAAACGTCCAAAACCAAAACACGGTGCACGCAACTACATCTAGTAGACTAGACGTTTGTGATGCATCAAATGCTTACTAGTTGAAAGTGCAAGCTCTTAAGTCAGCTAGATGATAAATACAACCAGGGCAAAGTACTGCCTGGAAGGTCTGAATGAAGCAATCAGTTCCCTTTTCAACTACAAGCTAGCTCGCGATGCTGGGAAAGTATCTAAGCTATTGAATTTCCAATTTGGACCCTTTAAAAAGAGTGTATTCAGCAAAGGAAATTCATTAAAAGTCAGGCAACCAAGGAGTTTTTTCCCCAACAAAAACATTTGTATACAACAAGTCACTGAAAAAACTGGGTGGAAAACACATGTAACTCAAACAACGTGTGATGTTTGTTTGTTACTAAGAAAGAAGGCAAAGGCAGTGACTGACCATACAGAGTACACAATGCAAAATACTTACGATCCATTGAAACTAACATACAGAACAAATCTTGTATGTAGCAATTAATGTCAGGAAAAAAGGCAAACTGTTATGGAAGATAATACAGATCTGATTAAGAGAAATCATCACTTCAGTGTGTCCAGATTTCGGCAATAAAAATCCTGACCAGGTCTTGAGCAAGAGATCACATTACTCCTGTGCTAGAGTCCTCGCACGGGCTTCCAAATCAGGTTGCGTGTCAACTTCAAAATCCTCATGCTCACTTATAAGGCTCTACATGACTTGACACCCCAATACCTGCCTGACTTATTGTCCTCACCTCGCAACCTTTGTTTATCTAAATCTCCTGTCTGTCCTCCAAGCCCGTCTACACTCTAGGGACAACGGGGCCATTTCCTGCTATACCCCAAAGCTCTGGAATTCTATCCCTCAGGATATCAAAGAGTCACCTTCCCCGAGCGCCTTTAAATCCAGACTCAAAATCCTCTTCTGCTTTGCTTTCCTACTGTATTCCAAACCCTTACTGTAACTGTGTGATCCTTCTCTCCACTCATTGTGTTTTTTCCCCCCTTTGCTGTCAAGCACTTTGTGAAGCCACCTTGAAAGGTGCCATATAAAATGAAATGCATTATTATTAAGGGAAATCATGAAATTAACATTCACATTTTACTGGCTCCTGTCACTGTCTTTCACATCCCTCAATGGTAATGGACTGGAAAGCTCATGAGATGTACTGGTGCTTTGTCACACAACAGAACAGATGAACGTCACTGACCCTTTGTAGCTTGGTTGCTGATGGGAGGGGGGTTGGAGGCAGGCCTCTTGGAGGGGTGCAGGGGTGGCGACAGGGAGGTCTCGCTGTACTGGAACTCTGCCCCCAGGCTGCAGTCGTCCCGCAGGGGGCTGGAGGAGGAGGAGGTGAGGGGGTGCCTGTGGTTGACCCAGGCGTCGCTGCCACTGCTGTTGCTGCTGCTCTCGCTGTCCATGAAGTTCTTGTTCTCCTGGATTCTCTGGCTCAGCTCGGCAGTGCACTCCTTCCTCAGGTGCTTCTGTGCCTTCGTTTCATCCTGCCGGGAGAGACACGGGGGAGGGAGGACGCCGTGAGGCGGGAACGGGGCAGCAGGTCCGCTGGCGGACTTAAGAGACTGGCGCGAGAAGGAAAGGAAGGTTTGGCAAAACGCTACGTCAACAGGTATTCCGGCAATTTTATGTCCTAGGAATGCTCTGCTGGTGCTCTCGCACGTGGACACGATCCTCGTGATCCCATTCGTGTGTGCACCGGAGTTTATTACTTCACAGACTTAGAAGTGTGCCAGAATAAACCAACTAACTTTACAACAACCCTATACAGAGTACATCTTGTCCCGATTACAATGATGCTTGAAGAAACCTAGCAGGACCGGTCCAATGGAGGGTGTGTGGAGCATCCCAGTAAACCTATGGCCTAAGATTCAGCCTTACCTGGTGACTGGTGCCAAAGCCACCTAGGCTGTCCTCCCCTGACGCTGGCTCTCCTCCACCTGAAGGACACCAAGGAGAAATGAAGTCAGATCCCGTAGAGCCCCGGTCATTCCTCTCCGGTGCCTCACATAACAGGCAGAATTTGAGGTTTCAGAACTGGTAGACAGCTTCCGCCCCCATCCTCAACAGCTTACACAGGGAGAGAATCTCTGTCAGAGGGCTCGATGCAGGTAAGGCAGAGGAAAATCGAAGTCAATTGATTCAAGGAGAAGAAAGAGCTCAGAGGTGATCCTCTCCTATGCCTTCAGACCTGGATCACAAATTCTTAACTTATTAATTTGGTCCCTATTTTACAGGAAAGTAGGCATAAAGAAAGCTAGGAACCGTGAATCTTCTCAACGCGTTTGGTTGCTTCAGCAAGATTTTTGGGAAAGCGGGCTATCTAATCACTGGAAATAACCTCCTCCGCTAACGAAAAAATAAAGAAAAGCACAGGCCGAGACCAAGTTCGTCCCAGGTCTCGGCTCTTGCCCTGAACGTGTCCGGAGTGTGGGCCCCCGGGTTTGGGTGGAAGGAGAGGCATACCGCTGTCTGCTGTTCTGTGAGCTGGGCTTGACCACCACTGCTCCCTTGAGGAGTCCCAGGGCTCCTGGGAGCTCCCACTCTCCTCCAGATGCCCAGGTAAACACTGAGGGTACAGCAGCCCTGCCATTGACAGCATGCCCTGAATAGCTTCTTCTGTGCTTGGCGAGGTAGGACGTTCTCTGTAATCACAAGGGGGTTTTTTACGGACAAGGCACCACAAAGGTGCACACTTAGACCTGCTAGTGTTTGCATAATTGAACGAAACCATGCAGAACACGTCTTCACATGGGTTTCCTCCCACAGTCCAAAAACATACTGTGAAACCCGTTTCACTTTTTTCAACCCAATATCGCACTGGAAAAGGCCTAGAACTCTTAGTATTTACTCCATTTTTTTTAACAACAACGAAAGGAGCATTATGAATACATTTACAAACTACAACCATGATTAAAGAAGGGCTTGTTACCAGCAGCTTGGAAGCTCAAGCCCTCAATGTCTCCAATTAATTTTGTGTTCCTCTAAGCAGGTTAACCTCCTTGTGCTCCGTCCTTTAGATCAGGCCTAAAACGTATTCCAGCCATACCTTCTGAGAATAATTTAGATACAAACATATTCTAAAATGATGGAATAATATTGTTTCAGACCAGCAGGATAAAATTCAAGAATATAGTAGATTTATTTGGACATACTACAATAAATAGAATCTGTTACAGCTGCTGATTCCTCACACACAGTTTTAAATGTGAAAAGGAAAACTGCTAAAACTCAATTAAAGCTACTTTAGGCTGTGTTACACTGCTGTACATCACAGTAGTTAGGATTAGCTGATAAAAGCCCTTATATAGTCATTGTATGCTTACAGTTTGAGTGGTTTCTCCTGGTCACTGAGTCTCTGGCTGGCCTGGTACAGGTCCATGATGCCCCCTGAGTCTCTCTGGGTCTCACTCTTTGAGGAAACCTTCTCGTCTTCCTCAGAGCTACCTGACTCTTCCTCAGAAGAATCTTTTTGCTGGGGAAAAGGACACCAAAGGTAACTTCGTCCGTTTGTCAGCATTTCGGAAGGACAGCACGCTTTCATTTAAATTGCTTCTCTCTTTTTGTTTCTCAAGACTGCAAAACTGAAACAAGGCAGCTGTGTTTTAATTTGATATCCAGACGACATTAAGCACAGCTGTAGCGTGAAAGCTGCATTTAATCAAGTATACTTTTATGAAGAATTCCAGGAATGCAAAAAGAGGAATTTCAAACACTAAAGTAAAATGAATGACAGCACATCTAATCATATGCTGAATCTAAAAACATTTAATCTTTTTCCAGCCATTGTCCTATATAGGGAATCGATATTCAATTTTACATACAGCATATTCATTCCATTATGAAATTTAAAAATCTTGCCAAAATTACTTTGTAAGTGCTATTTATTGCCAGAAGCTTCAGCCTCAGAATGCCTTTTCGCAGAGGTAATGACAGGGTTTTTAATCTCAACATAGGATATGAAGTCTGGACACATACCTTTATAGTGCAACTGTCTTCAGACTCTGCTTCTGAGTCAGAAGTATCAGAGTGCCCTGATGCTCCATTCCTGAGTTCAGATTTCACACTTTCAAAAAACTCTGAAAGCAAAATTAGACAGGTTTTATAACTATGAGAGCAGTAAGAATGCAACTTAACATTTTTATACTTCCGTCATAAGTCAAGTATTCAAATAAGCCACTTTATAACATAAGAATATATGTATTCACGATTACAATGAACTTCGTAAAGAATCAAGTGCCACACATTGTAGTTTCTTATTTTATACCATTAACTTTTCAGTCATTCAATTGGGCTCATTTCTCATATCCACATATCCACTACAATGAGGGAGGACTGAAAATGTTTGTATTTATCAACTTGTTTATTGTAGAAAAGGTTAATAAGTAAAACCTCAAACATAAAGTGATCAGCTTTCATTAGTAAGTTGTTTTCTGATATTTACAAATTTTTACTTTTTAAAAGATTAGAACTTGTTATATGGGGCCAACATAAATGTACAGGGGGTGGGGTGTTAAATACAGAAATGCAAAAGTGCAATGATCAAATCTGTTATTAGCTTGGTCAATAAAAAAACAGCAAATAGCCCACATAGAAATAGACCATTTTAACAGAATAATTTTATATCCCAACCCAGCAAATGGGTAACTGATAACTGCACAGTCCTACACTAAATCCTGATTGCCAGCAACTATATCACCCTGCAATCACTGGCAGACCACTGGTGTGAGCCTGGTCAGTATCTGGATGGGAGACCTCCTGGGAAAGCTAAGGTTGCTGCTAGAAGTGGAGCCAGTAGGGGGCGCTCACCCTTCAGTCTGTGTGGGTCCTAATGCCCCAATATAGCACATTTGAAAAAAGGCACCGTCCTTCAGATGAGATGTAAAACTGAGGTCCTGACTCTCCATACTCATTTAAAATTCCAGGGCGTTTCTCAAAAAGAGCAGGGATGTTAACCCTCTGGCCTTTACCAATCATGGCCTCCTAATAATCCCCGTCTATGAATCGGCTTCATCATTCTGTTCTCCTCCCCACTGAGAGCTGATGTGTGGTGAGCACACTGTGCACACTGTGGCTGCCGTTGCATCATCCAGGTGGGGTCTACACATTGGTGGTGGAGGGGAGTCCCCATTATTTATTAAGTGCTTTGTTGAGTGGAGTGTCCAGAAAAGTGCTATATAATATAGTATATATACATACTCTCATACATCCTGACCTAATGGCACCTGATGAAATCCAATGAGGATTAAAAGCTGGCCACTCTGGATCTGAACCTGCAGTCCCCTGGAGGAAGGACTCATTGCACAGGTCAGGGAAAGACTTTGACTACAGCAGCTTTTCAAGGCCCCACGGTGGAGATTACAGTCTGCGCTGTCCTGCACTTACTGTTGAGTGGATTCTGCTTGGCGTGTTTTTCCCCGATGCTCTCCTCCTCCCACTCCTCCTTCTCATTCTTGATCTTGCTGGCCTCTTTTGGACTTCCTGTGTTACCTTCACCACCGGCAGCACTCGAGCTCTTGTCTGGGACTTGCTGCCTTTCATCTCTGACACAGGGACACAGACACAGGTGAGTTGGGCCCATCAAGAAAGAGCAACCAGGTCATACGGTCAACAAGATGCTAGTGAAGAAATTGTCCTGGGGCTGGGAGTAATCCTATATACCCATTTTCTATCTGATGACTTCTGAGGAATCTGAGCGTCATCTTTTTTTAAATAACCTCAAAGTACAATTAGTGCGTTCTCACCACTGCTCACAGCTAAAGATAAAAGACCTAAATTAGGCAGACGTGTCACCAATGATCGTTTCAACGTTAAAACACAGACAAAAGATATTTGAACTGATGAGAAAAGGTCTACATGCGTTTAGCGAGCCCAGAAGTCTCAGATCAGTCAGTCAGAGAACTGTCTATGTCATTTCGTCTTTGATATTCAAGAAGTTTCTGCTTGCCTCATAATCCTGCCATTTGAAAGAACTAAGCGCAGATTATTGTCAAAGGTTCTCCGCTCAGGTGTTGAGGACGTGGCCTGGAAGACCTTATTATACTTTCCATTCATCCTGGAGCTGTACACCAGATCCTATGGGGTATAAAACAATAATTTATTACAGAATTGTCTTTTTAGAGTAGAAGAGTACACTCTACATGCTATAATACATTGTCTTCTGAGTGGAATTTAAATACGAATTAGACATGCTAGTGTTTGCATAATTGAACGAAACCACGCAGAACACGTCTTCACATGGGTTTCCTCCCACAGTCCAAAAACATACTGGGAAACTGGCTTCTGGGAAAATTGGTCTCGTGTGCATCTGTATCTATGTGTGCCCTTCGATAGACTGACGTCCCGTCCAGGGTGTATCCTGCCTTGCACCCACTGCATGCAGGGATGGTCTCCGGTTACCCGCATTTAGCTAAAATGGTTGGAAAGTTGCTAGACTGATGGGATGGATATTTAAAAGGGGGGCAGGCATTCCTTTTTGTGAAGCACGACAAGGATATTTTGCAGTTCAAGCAGGTAGCTGCGTCCGCATACGCAGGCTGCAAAGGAACAAGCTCAGGGTTTAATCCGTGCTGATAAGAGAAGAAGAAAACGCAACGTTTCGGCCACAGAGCCTCCTCCCTGCCTTTCCTTTCTCCTCTTTTCAGCATGGAATAAACCTTAAACTTGGTCCTTTGAAGGATATTTTGCACCCTCTTTTGTTTTTCAAAAAATTCTTAAAAAGGACAAGGCGACGGGCAAAGAAGAAGGAGTGTGTTGTGTGCTGCAAGCCGTCAACAGGAAAGGTGCAGGCCCCGGGCCCTCTCCCCGCTACCTCCTCCCAGGGCGACATCTCCAGGCGCCGCAGCACCTCCCTGGTGTGCAGCTCCAGGATGTCCAGGTTGGAAGGCGTTTTGGTGCTGTGGTCACGGAGCCGCCGGGCATTCCTCCGGGCCTGGGAGCCCCTCTCCAGCGAGGAGCGCGTCATGGGGCACGAGCTCCCCATTCCCTGAGATTTCGCTGGCCTGCTGCCGCTCTGGTCCTCCTGTTGCCGACCACAAGAGTGGGGTTAGAAACCCTGCTGACCGGCCGGCTAGGCGCTCAGTCGACCCTCCCTCAAAGGCCAAGTGTGTGGGATAGAAAGTGCCGCCCAATACAAGCTGGGCAGGAAGCCCTCGACATTTTATACAACCAAAGATGGTCTGTTCTGACCACTGCTTAGTCAAAAATTTAATTAAAATAACACTTATATAGCGCTTTTCTTGATACTCCACTCAAAGCGCTTTACAGGTGATGGGGACTCTCCTCCACCACCACCTGGTTGATGCGACGGCAACCATAGACCGCCAGTACACTCATCACACATCAGCTATCAATGGGGAGGAGAACAGAGCAATGAAAGAGATGGGAATAAGTAGGAGGCCATGATTGGTAAGGGCCAATGGGAAATTTGGCCAGGACGCCAGGGTTACACCCCTACTCTTTTTTAAGAAAAACCCTGGGATTTTTACCACAGAGAGTCAGGACCTCAGTTTTGAGAAATTAGTACGATTTCTCAATTTCACAGAATGCTGGTACTTATGGTAAAGGCTGGTCCTAAGGCCTTGTTTTCCCACTGTAGCCTAGTCAGGGCTCACCTCTTGGTAGCGGATTTCCTTATTGAGTTCTTTAATGAGATGGTTGGGCCTGATATGGTCTGGAACTTCACCGGTTGGCTCTGTAGCCTGTGGAGAGAAAACAAAGCTGGTTAACGAGGAAGAGTTAGAGCTCTAGCCTCAAGGACACAAATATCAGCCTCTAAACCATATTTAAGGCAGATCTTAACTTCGGTAATTATGATAAAAAAGGATCACTTAAAATGTGAAGATAGATTATTTTCTATTTTTCTATCAAGCACTGATATCACCCTTTTACTGTGTTCTCTTTTCATCGGTTGCTTTTATGGGCAAAATGCTAGGAATGACACCTAGCTTGAGCTCAAGTTTTGGTTCAGTATCTGAGATTTTAATTTCATATCATAGGCTTCATAATCACGTAAATGAAAATTTCAATACACATCCTATCCCAAAATAATATCTTTAAACAATCCATTTCTGTTTACAATAAAGCACATGCTTCAACAAAACACAATTTGCTACTGTATTCATTTACATATGTTATGAAACCAATGCATATGCAACATGTTTTTCAGATACTTTAACTAGACTGCCGATTGGAATGAGTGCAACTGAACGGAGCTCACAAAATCAAACGTCGAGATGGTTTTGCCGACAAATTCTACTAACTTGTTGAATCTGCATGCAGAACACACTGGAACATTTCTGCGGTGAAATACTTGCTGCACAACCTGTACTTATTCGCTCCTACAAACTCTTGCTCTCACCCACGGAGAGATCAGGGGTTTGCGACCGCATGGCGACCATACAGTACTTTCACAAAGCTCATGATTTTCTGCTTAATTCGGAATTTGTCATATTTTCGCGATACCAACAACTAATTTATTTGGTGACCGAGATTTAAGAACTGGTCTGGGAAACTGGGGACTGCAGATCCCCTTAACTAGCTTCCTTGCACACATGAATGTCTGTTACTCTACACGGTGACCTACCTCTCTCTTTAGCCAGGACTTCAGTGCAGTAGCTAAAGCTTTCACTCCCTGTATCAAGTAGGCAGGAGGCTGGCAGTTGTCTTCTCTCAACTCTGCAAGATCATCGGTAAATCAACAATGTTTATAAAGCTGCACAGCACACACAGTGGAGAAGATTGGAATGTGTTTGGAAAAGATACTTCTAAGGACTCTGCTGTCTTCCTGAGTTAAAACTTTAGCCCTAATCCTTTACTACCTCGTGTTACCTATAGTATATGAAGTTTAAAAAAAAAGGAAGAATACAAAACTGTTTGTGAATACTATAAACCTTTTTGTGTTTGTCTATTATTGTGACTTAGTTGACGATCAGACCACATTTTTTATGAGTAATTAATGCAGAAATCCAGGTAATTCCAAAGGGTTCACAATCTTTTTCTTGCAACTGTTGCATCACTACACTGGGGCATTAGGACCCACACAGACTGCAGGGTGAGCACCTCCTACTGGTCCCACTAACACCTCTTCTAGCAGCAACCTTAGTTTTTCCCAGGTACTGGCCAGTTTCACACCTGCTGAGCTTCAGTGGGTTACCAGTTATGAGTTGCAGGGTGATACAGGTACTAGGTGAAACAGTCATAAAAAGGATGTATGGATGACTTTTACTGTGCAGATGATGACTACATTTGTGGGTTTTCATTACCTTTAAGCGTTTCCAGCAAGTTCTTTGCCACATACCAGCAGATAGCCTCAAAGTAAGGGAATTTAAAGAGATCAGGTGTCTTTAACCGTCTCTCCATCTCGTAACACCTGCCAGGAGAGAGGGGCATTAACACCGTGGACACAGGGCCACATTTCAATCTCAACCAAAAGCTTGACACAGTCATAAAAATACATAAATCAAACAAATATAGTTTCTAGTGCAGTTGTAGATACAAGATTATGTACAAAATTGAGAATTTTCCAAAACATATCTCTTAATTTTTGTAAGCAATAACAACAAAGATTTTTCAATGCTTAGTTAAAATGCAACAACCAATTTAAAGTCCATTTTCTATCAATTACACAAAGTCTGCAAGCGACTCAATAAAGATTTAACGACAAGGTCTGATGTGAAAAGTGAAATGACAGCAGAACTGGACAAAAGCAAAGGAACACATTTAGACACAAAAACTGCACTTCATCATCTTACCTGAGCTGCATTTCAATATTAAGATTGTGTAAGAAATTCCCCCCAAAAGCCATGCAATCCTGAGAGGTGAGAACAGCATGGATCCACCCTGTTTAAACAAAAATGCATTAGTTGTTCGCCAAAACCAACTGGGCATCCTTAGACATGAGTAATTGAATGCACAATGTACACGATTGTTATGAAGCCTCAAGCTATTCAATTCCCTACCTCGTGAAGCAAGTCCACAATGATGTCTGCAAAGGACTATTTTGAAACCTATATTTCTGTCAGTGTATCCTGGTACAATGGATCCAGAACATTTATACACATTGCTCTGCAATTGATATTAGGGGTTTCAGTGGCTCTTAAGACTGCAAATACACCAAACATGGACATGTGGATGAGGTAACTTCTCAGAAGGACAGAGTACGCATTTTGAGCAGCAAAAGACAAGGCTAGATGGAGATTTCTCAGGCTGTGTGAAGGTCCCCTTTTGAGTTCTTTTATTACCTCCACAGAAAGAAGAGAGGACCAGTTAGTATGTAACCTGAGACTGAGGTGGGAAAGCTCTTTCCAATCTCTGTTAGTCAGGAGGCTGGCTCCTGCAGTAGGCTGAATGTCTAAGTAAGGGGACAAAGTAAGAGGACAAAGAGTGGACAGGAAAATGACAAGCATCGGTAAAATAGCCCCAGGTCAACTTAAACAAGAGTCAGCCTTTCTTGGGAGGGGAGTTTCGAATAAAAAAGTTGAGAATCGGTTCAACAGCACAGAGGTTCAGCACTGAAGTCTTTAAACCCCTTCTTTATGTGGCCACACATTCTAATAACCATAATAATGGTAAACTTAATGAATGCTTCCAAGGAGGCTGTTTACTATAGTGATGACGTGAAAGAGTTGGTGGCGAGTGGAATTCGACACCCTGCTGATGTTTACTACACTAGTAATTTAGCACATGTTTGTCATGCTGACTGTGCTCAGGAAAAGATTCCATCTCGAACAAGTACTGTTTACTTGCTGTGGCCTAAAGCCTGCTACTCAAATTTAAAAAGTAGGGGGAGTTACTGTCTGTGTCAGTCAAAGGAAAGCTGAATCTGAAAAAAGCGTTTTGTGCTAATTGTTCAAAAATGCTGGGATAACCAATGTCTGAGAAAACAAGACAGTCCTGGTATCAGTGCTCAATTAACCACTTTTTCATTAACCACTCAACGGAACAAATTATACCTAACCGATAACTCAACAAATGTTTCTTTAAACCAATATATTATACCCTCTAGCTTCTGATACAATGTGCCTTCTCATAGTCCTCATAGATAGACAACAGAAAAACATAAAAACTGCAATAACATAGCCATTTAAAAGTGATGGTAAAGAAAAATCTTAATATTTTATTCCCTTCAATGAAAAATCACTAAGTAGAAACTGGATTCGTCATGGCAAAATTAAACTAGGAACATATTTTTCAATATTTTGCCAAGAGTCATGCAACATGTTTTGTTTAGCTGGCAAAAGGAAGGTTTTCAATGCAGAAGACAACATTTTGCACATTTTTAATGCAGAAGTAAAACACCATCTTTATGTTAGGAAGACATTTTAAGATGGCTTTCCACGTGGCTCTGACTGAAATCTGTTTGCTATCGGGATTTTTGTTTGTTAGCATTTGGGAACAGCAGGTGGGAAGAGGAATTCTTCCAGGGAAGGGCTGAGTATCCTGGCCAGGTCAGACCCAGAGCTACAAAGCAGGAAACACTGATTTTCATACAATTTTCACGACTGTCTAACAACTGATGCCCTTCGCCGGCAGAGAAGAGCCCTCATTTAGAATCGAAATAGAAAAAAAAATAGCCGCACAAAAAGCGCCAAATCCCGGCTTTGCTGTTTTGCGACTCCAAGGATAAAATATATTCAAGTGCCGTCAAAAGGAAATGTGACAACCAGCTGCAGAAAAAATCAACAACTGTATCAAGTATCAAGGACTTAAGTGTAGGTAGCTTCCACCTTGTGCCTATATGATACTCACTGGTGAAACTTTGGGATTTTCTGATTGTGATACAAATGCGCAATGATACTAATACTACTAATCCAACATTCTACATTACAGCGATCACTATTTTAGAAATTCTAATTACAATTCCTGGTGGGGCTGTGGCACAGTAGTTAGCACTGCTGCCTTGCAGCGCTGGGGCCCTGGGTTCGATTCCAGACCTGGGGTGCTGTCTGTGTGCAGTTTGTATGTGCTCTCCGTGCTTGCTCCAATTTACTGTCCGAGTCTAAAGAAATGCTGGAAGGTTTATTTCCAGAAGGCAATTAACATTGCCCCCTAGTGCAAGTGTGAGTGTGTGCATCTGTTTGTGGCATCCCACCTTGGCCTCTCCTGTACTCCCACGACCCCGATTTGGAAGAAGAGGTTTGAAAATGGATGGATCCGAGGAACTGAACCCAGGGTCCCTGTGCTGTGAGGCAGCAATACAACCATCGCACTCCCCTGACACCCTTCGATAAGTCATTTGTTTAAAAATACATCAATTTAAAAAACTACCCACCTAAATAAAAATACCTTAAAAAAGGATGAGAAGATTACCAAAAGCCTCAACTACTTTCAGAATCAAACTTTCATTCCACCCAATTATAAAATAGCATAAATAAACTGGTTAACTGGTTTGCAGCATTTGACAATCATAGGTGACACCTGATGTGGCATTTTTACACCATTTACATGAGATTTTCTAAAAAAAACATCTTTGTTTTAATTCCTCACCTACTCTCTTATTAAACAACTTAGCACCGGCCTCTCTCTGTGCGAATCTAAATATTTACAAGAAATGCCAATAAACTAAAAGAACTGCAGAATTCCATATTAACACAAAATCACCGTGCTGCTGTGGAAGACTGGAGGCTAGTCATTTAAAAAAAACAGATTTTCGTAAATAAAACTCCAGTTCCCTTTAAGGCTGAATAGTCTTAATTTGACTTTGGACTCCTAAAAAAAAATCTAACAGCCAGCCAGAAATTTGTTTTTTTTTTTCCTTGGCAGCGACACGGGAATTCGACCGTTCGAAATGCACAAACGACCTGAATTTTCCTCGCCGAGTAGAAAACCACCTTTAAAGGCCTGTGTTCTGCGACATGTTTGTGCGTCGCTGAGGTATATAAAGAGTAATTACAATGCGTATTCTTCAGCAGGAAAAGTATAGAGTCCCTGTCTGCTTTCGCTTGCCTAGAGCTGCGGTAGGAAACACAACGTCCAAGACGTCTGCTTCAGCCTGAAAAGAGTTAAGGGACCTGGTCAAGGAGGCGGCACAGGACACATCAGTCATTTAAAAAAAAAAAAAGAACAGCCATCATAACAACACAGTACAAGGTCAAAGCAATGAGGAGGAGCAGGAGAAACAGGACTGGAAGAGGGCCTCTCCCCTTACCCGTGGGAATGAGAAGTGTCGTCCCCTGCCGCACCACACACTTGTAGCATTTGTCCACCTTCTCCCCGAAGAACACCTCGCTCTGATTGGGGGACGAACTCCACGCCTCGTATAGTGCAAGATTCGCCTCGGTGGGCTTTATCAAGTAAAAAATCTTTTCACCCTTAAAAAAAACAACAACAGATACACGCCGGATCAAGAACCATTCCTGCGGAGTGTGAAACACCGTCAAATCCACTGCATTTGCAATGAGCAACAAGAATGACTCTGGATGTTCTTTTCATGTGAGGAATCTCATCTTCTGGGGTTATTCTATAAAAGGAACTCTTTTACCATGACGCACTGCAATTAAAGGGATTAATCCTGTCCGGCTCCAGGATTAAGAGTTGAAGACACACTGGAGTCAAGAATTAAACCGCTGGAAATAATTTCATACCCTATTTTTTTTTTTTGAGGCAAACTGCAACATTGAAAAGGTTTGGAAAAATCATGTCGCTGACAAGCCCCAACCTTCAAACCACTTGTTTCCTCTCGCACTCAAATATCCCTCTTTGCTTAGGTTTGGCTTTATTTGTGTTCACCTTTTCAAAGCAGGAGACAAAACAAATCCACACACAAAAAGAGGGGACAAAGGGAAATTAAGGAGAAGTGCATTTCAAACTGGGTTAGCAGGCACTTCTTGACACAGAGGGCTGCTGGAATTGAAAACAAACCAGCCGGGCCTTTGTTGCTGAAGTTGACACTGTGCCTTTCTTCAAGAAACAGCAGGATGAGATCCCCAGATAAGCTGACTGGCAACTAAATGAGCCAGATGGGTTGAATGGCCTCCCCTGCTTTGAAACCTCTTAAAATTTATCCTTTCCTGGCTCCACCATTACAGAAATGTCGGTATTTGTATAAGATTAGACAACAGGGTGTCCGTTTGCTTACCCAGAGGACATGGTACCAGACTGAAGTGCCCCCGAAGTCTATGTGGAAGTCTGTGTAACTATCTTTCACCCCCATCAAGCAGTACTTCTGCACAAAGGGCTTTGGGAAGACAGAGTCATCGGGCCAGTAGTTCTCCACCCAGGACATCTTTTGAGCTATATCCGGAACCACAACCAGATCTGCCATTCTGGGCGGACGGGCGACAGAAGATTCAAGTTATTGATCTTTTTACACTTAACATTATTTTTTTAAATTTCAACAGAGCTTTTAATAACTGTTTGCAAAATTTTTATTTCACCGGCAACTCAACATGCTTTTTTACCTCCCTCATGCACAATAATATTAGTTTACTTTAGGAGGTGTACAGAGTGCACAAACACTCAACGTTTTGAGCAGCATTAATTGGAGAAACATTAGACACTAGCATTAGGGCGATAGATAGGTCAATACAGGTCTGAGTATGATCAAGCCGTTTATATTATCATCCCTCCAAACTATGCAGTGAGAATTTGAAATACAAACAATTCAACTCAATCCAAATCAGACAACTATCCACAAGGAGAGTCACAGTTTTGAATTGTAGACACATCAGGACCATTGTGTTGGCAGAACAATGAAAGAAAGGACAGCAGGTAGAGTTGAAGGGATTGTAGCAGACTAAATATGTCCTCCTGTGTGAGGGAGACAGTCCGAGCCCTGGCTACCACAAATTGTTTTATATTAGATATGGTTACTTGGGAAAAACACTGATCCCTGTTTTTCAACCAGGTGGCAGGTCTGACTCACATTAAGGGGTGAGGCCATGCTTATTACACGCACTGTGAGCAGGTAGAACAGGAGGATCTCTGCTTTAAATGAGACGAAAAACAGCCAAGCATGCTCTAACCTGAACACTACATTTATTCAGAATATCTGAAGCCTTCAGCCAAGATGTGGGGCCTGCATTCATAAACGCACAGCAAGAACTTACCTTGTGTCCGAGAACTCCAGACTGATGACATTTAACACTTTTGGCCGGTGGGAACTGTAGTAATACTTCACAAACTCACTGAGTTTTATTTTGCTGTCTGCTTGCCGGGCCACATCAATGACATCAATCACTTTATCACCGCCTGGAAACAACAAGCGTCCCCACGGTAATTATCAAAACAAAGAGGATGAGACCACAAGTCAGGTTTTCATATTATAAAAAGCAAATCGGTCTTTAGTGTACACGCCAATAAAATAAAAAAAAACACACTGCTGTTTTTCAAATGGTTGAGCATGAAACGGCTAAATTCACTTCGCAGATGTGACGGACGTCCATCTGTGGCAACCATTATTTCTGGGGATTAAATCAGATCCAGATCTCTTTGCTCTCGTTAAAGGCTTAGATAAACAAATCTCTTTCCTGTTGGTTCCTAAAAAGTCAATCCAATAGACTTTAAGATCAACAGTAGCATGAACCAGAGGACGCATCTGGAATTTAGGAGGCAGTGAAAGACTGAGAACAGAAGGCACTTCTTTACACAGAGTGTAAAGCCATGTTTTTGAGGTTGGTAGCCTGGACTCCCTCCAAGCAAAGGCTAGGAGAAATGACCAATTCTAACATATAACATATTGGAAAACAAAACACACTGGGCCTAATACCTGCCCTCAATCTTACGTTCTTACAAACCCGACTCCGATGCACCAGAAATGATCACATCATATCACTAACAAATACTCGTGCCGATCAGCTTCGCAGTGTAACCTACTGCACCTATCAAAATTGTCAAAAACATCTTTAAAAAAAGATGAAAAGACGTCGCAGCCACAACTTATAGAATAAATATTAAACCGGATAAAGCTGGGCTTGTCTTAAATCTGGAGTTGCATAGTTCCCCTACACTCTCAGCCAAGAAATAATTTGGGTTTAACAACTGTTGTGCAAAAAGAAAAAAAAAAGCTTTCCCCTGTTCTCTCAAGCCATGTAGCAGGCAGCTGCCAAGCTGTGTCAAATGAGCAGAAATGCCCATCTACCCCGCTTACATTTGAAGGAGCTCATGGAAAGTACTCGTACAAGCTCACTGACATTTTCAAGGTCCTGCAGGAGATCTAATGAAAGGCAGAACCCAATGTTTCCAGATCGCATTACTTACAAAGATGAGAAGGGTACAGACAGCGAGGGGGGAAGGGGGGGACATGCACATGTCTTCTTGTGTAGATAACATTACTAGTAGACAGCTGTGAAGCAGCAAATCAATATGGCAGGGAGGTTGGGCACCACGGACAAGTCCAGTGTAAAGCTAACAGGACAGCTGGCAGCTGTAAAAGGCCTCCCCGATCAGCCCAGCTAGTCACCAGCCTAAGCCGGGACAGGAACAGCTGGAGTGAAGCCTCCACACAGAGACTGCAGTGTTCGGAGGCTGAACAGAGTCACGGCCGAGGTGCAGAGGGAAATACTGGACGCACTGAAGGCAACTGACATTTCAGGGCAGTAAATCCTGAAATCCCCCCTTTTTAGAGCCAAGAGAAAGGTTTAACAAACCCAGAATGCCACCAAGGTTTCTCAAATCCGTGTTTCCACCTAAGCACATTTTCTGTGTAACGTTCCCAAAGTGGAAAAAGGGCTACTTTTTGTTTTACATTATAAGGGGGGGAATAAAACGCTCTAAACGGTTGTACAGTGACTGAGTGCTTTTTGCTGCCTCACAGCGCTAGGGCCCCAAGTTCAATTCTGGACCTTGTATGTTCTCCGAATGTTCATGTGGGTTTCCACCGGGTGCTCTACAGTCCAAAAACATACTGGTAGGTTCACGGGCTACTGGGGAAAAAATGGCCGTGGTATGAGTGAGTGCATGTGTTTGTGACTGTCTGCCCGGAGGTGGACTGGCGTCCTGTCCACGGTGTACCCTGCCACGTGCCCGTTGCTTGACGGAATAGGCTCCAGCTCCCCCCACGACCCTGAACTGGATAAAGTGGTGAGGAAATAGATGGACGGAAAACTTTCTACATGAAGCATAAACCTATGATACTGGTACATCTACATAGTTAATACCGAGACAGCTATGAAAAATAGATCCTGGAAAATATAACCAACTCATGTTTGGTATTCGCTGGGCTAGCAGATGGGTTGTTTAAGTGTTCAAAGTCAAACAAAGTTGAGTTCAAGACACCTTACCTCATTTTTACTGAGAAGCATCAAAACTAATGGTGTCCGCGCTGGATTCAAACATGAACGTGTACACTGCATGGTTACAAGAAACCTAAGAATTGTTCACTTGCTATTTATCTTTGCAATGGTAAATGCTATCCCTGACAACGAGTTCGTGTTTTTCAACTCTAGGCTGAAGACCAGGCAATCACTGAGATTTAAAAACATAAAAATGTTACAGCAGCCACAATTTAAAATGGAAACAATTCACACAGGCTACTGCACTCTTTACATTCTCCGAACCAATGAGACTAGCACAAATTAAAAAAAAAAACAGACTGCTTATGTGTGACAAACTACACTTTTTTCACCTAGACAGAATCTTGGGTCTCCTTTTCCCTTCAGACACAGATTTTCATTCCCAAACTTAAAAGGGTAGCATCCAGACAGAAGGTACTCCCCTAACTAACTGTTTCTGCTTGGAACTCTAACCTTCTTCAGTCTGAAAATGCAATTGAAACATTGAAACAACAAGCACAGAGCAGGCAAGACTGCAGGTTCCATTTCTCACAGCAAAAACAGAATCAAAACGTTTCCTGTTGAAAAAGGCGTGACAGCAGAGTTAGCTGTGGTCAGGCCCAGCAGGTACTGAGCCTCACAGCTGTGGGTGTGCAGTGCAGTCTTGTTCTGAACTGCTAAACCTTTCAGTGCCTGGCTTCCTTGAAATAAAAATTACTATTATGAGCGTACTTGTCTGGTGGCTTCTGTAATTCAAGATAAAAATCAATGGAAGGCTGATCTGAGATTTAAAAAAATCTTGTAGGATATAATGGAACCTCAAGCAAACCGCAATTTCTATGAGGAGCAAGATAGTACAGCACAGTACTATGAGAACTCAAAGCCTATTCGACGTTTTTTTCAAAAATTGGCTACGTACTCTAAGCCATATGTATCATTTCCAATAGAGACGGCAACAACATATCCACCACATTTTAATCACCTGTCATATGTTGTGTTTAAACTCCAATGTATGCTTTTTAAAATGATAAAAGAATGATAATCACTTAATAAAGAGTCAACAAAGATAACAAGGAAATAAACTGAGCATCAAAAGAAACCTATCGCTCATAATTGCAACAAAAGGCACTATGTTATTACCAGGATAATGGCATTCTGGGGAGCAGGCGCACTGACATTGATAATTGTCATCAACAGGATCAACAACTGCAGTCTCTCAATGTTTCTCAGACTGGTTATTAAATCTCAGTAACAAAATAAATCCACTCATGGTATCGCAAAAAATTCGACAAATTCTGAATTGAGCACAAAAGCGCAAAGGTTGTGAAATTAATGTATGGTCCCCGTGCTGTAGAGAGTTTAAGAGAATTGTGACCTAAATCAGCCCTTCCTGCTCACTAGTCAATGTAATAACTAATGTAATCCGATGTAGCAGCGAATATGTACAGGCTGTGCAGCAGTCATTTCACCTCTGAGCTAATCCAAGGTGATCTACATGCAGAGTAAGTAAGTAGTATTTGCTTACAGCAAAACTGTTTTTTTATACTCATTCTGAACTGCAGATGATGATGACAATATGGCGCTGTGTATACTTGGAAATTCCGTCTATTTTGCGATGTAAATTGGAGGTTTTACATGTAACTGTGTACATTTGACTTTCACTGTGGTCTGAAATGCACTCAATGTTGATTCTTTCTAACCCTGAAATATAAAAATAGCATTGCAGTTCCCCTTTAATCTATGATGCGAACTTTGCACCAGGATTGTAGATCCTGTGCTTCCAGAATTCTGACCCATTTCTCTCAGACCCTAGAAAAGTGTCTCTGCTCTAGACGCCATTGTCCTGGTTTGTCCTGCAAATCTTCAATCAAAGTGGCCTTCTGGGTGGCCCGAGTACAAATGTCTCCTTCTGATCCAGGTGTTGAGGGTTTGAGCCATGTCACTAGCTGACTGTGACTGGAATTCCACAGAGGGTGGTCCACAATTTCACAAGCATACACTTTTCAAAGATGGAAACAAATTACTTTAGTGGACTGAAGGACTCAAGAAAGTAGACATTGTTTTTTCCAAAATAACACCTAAATAAATATCTTTACCCATGTATGAATAACTAAGTCACTGTTCAGAACTAGTCACAGTACTTTTGATGTAAGTTAGTAGAGAGTATTCAGCTCTCTTGGACTTTTTTATGATGTTATAATACTGTATTTAATTAGGATTTTTCCCCCCCATTGAAATTAATTCACAATTCTAAAGATCCTCCTAGTTAAATCTCAAACAGAAAATAACTGCTGAGGTATTCACCCCCTTTGCTAAGACACGCCTAAACAAGCTGGAGTGCAACCAATTGTCTTTAGAAGTGACATAATTAAATGAAAATAATTACTTTATGATTCCTTACTGAACACAACTGGATGTTTAAAAGTCCAAGGGGAAAAACTACTATTTATAGCCACTATATTTTGCCAGTAGAGCAGAAATCCTCTTTATGGACTGTATTTGTTTTTCCTTAACATGTAAATCCATCGGAGAGTACTCACCCACATAGTGCTGCACGTCTTTGACAGAAAAGGTGGGGGGAGGCAGTCTGAGTCCCAGGCCGTCCAGTTTGTGCACCGCGATGGGGTAGTCAAAGCCCTGCTTCTCCAGGTAGCGCTGCGTCACCTGGCTCCCTTGCATCTTCACCACCATCTCATCGGCACTACCACAGGGGGAAACAGAACACAGAAAAACCAAAGGGTTCCATCACTTCAGTTCGCAATTCTTTACTTTGAAAATCATGTCAGGTTTTTAAGAGTCCGTCCATTTTCTAATAATAATAATAATAACTGCTTACACTTATACAGCGCTTTTCTGGACACTCCCCTAAAAGCGCTTTACAGGTAATGGAGACTCCCCTCCACCACCACCAATGTGCAGCATCCACCTGGATGATGCGACGGCAGCCATAGTGCGCCTGAATGCTCACCACACATCAGCTATTAGTGGGGAGGAGAGCAGAGTAATGAAGCCAATTCAGAGAGGGGGATTATTAGGAGGCCATGATTGGTAAGGGCCAATGGGAAATTTGGCCAGGATGCCGGGGTTACACCCCTACTCTTTACGAGAAACGCCCTGGGATTTTTAATGACCACAGAGAGTCAGGACCTCGGTTTTACGTCTCATCTGAAGGACGGCGCCTGTTTACAGTATAGTGTCCCCGTCACTATACTGGGGCATTAGGAACCACACAGACCGCAGGGTAAGCGCCCCCTGCTGGCCCCCCTAGCACCCCACTAACACCACTTCCAGCAGGAACCTTAGTTTTTCCCAAGAGGTCTCCCATCCAGGTACTGACCAGGCTCACACCTGCTGAGCTTCAGTGGGTTACCAATTGTGATATGGCTGCTGGCTTAAATGAAAAGACTAACTGAAAGCCCTGTGGTGAACTGGCGTCCTGTCCAGGGTGTACCCCGAACAAGAAGGAGTGAGAATGTGAACTGATGGCTAGAACACTAACAGAAACACTGTTACATTCATGTCTGTTCACCCTGGCCTTAACTTCACTCTGGTTTTCATTATTCTTAACGAAGAGCCCAGACTGAAAAACTTGTCTCACCAAATATTTATTTTGTGCGTTTTATTCTTTATTTCCCTGAAGGCAGGATCATGCCAAGAAGACAGTTCTTCCAAAAAAACAGCCAGTGGCCCAAAACACTCATTTACTCAAAACACGCAATTTATTTTTGTCTGTTAAGGTCTCGTGGCACTCAAAACATTGAAGACGGGAGCACAGAAAACTCCTGTTTTATTTCTGAGAGACCTTGCAGTCATCTCTATTAAGCAAACAAAATAGTCCCTGTACTATTCCCATTTTCTGCCATCTTAGATTGAACCCTGGGAGCCTCATGGTAGGCATTTATACAGCAGTTATAAATTTATTTTCTGGCCAACAAGGATATTCCTTGTTAGGTGCGCACATCATATTTAAAGCACAATTACTATTACAGAAATGCAAATGTCCAGTAAAATATGTAGTCATTTCCAGTGAAGGGAAGCAATCTATATGCTAGTACTCCCAAATTCAACACCGAATCTCAGCTGGGATGCCTGGGCTTTAAGTAGCTGTGGCAGCGTGCTTAGGCCGCAAAGGAAAACCTAAAGGTTTTTTTCCATGCTGAAAGGAAAAGTAAAAAAAAACTGTTTCGGCTGTGGAGACTTCTTCAACTTCACCTGAAAAGGGCTTCACCACCGAAACGTTGCGTCTCTTTACTTTTCCTTTCTGCATGGAATAAACCTGTACCTGTTCATATGGATATTTACGCAGCAGTAATTGTAACAACCGAAGAATCAAACGGTGTGTCCTTTACAGGACAATCTGTCTGTGCCCATTGCAACACCATGTAATAATAATGATAATATTGCTTTATTGGCTATATACAATTTCTTGCATTAGGAATTCGTCTTTTTGCATACCCTAGCTTGCTCTCCATGAGACACAGGCACACAGACAGGGAGAGAAGCTTGGGATCAGAGCGCAGGGTCAGCCATTGTACAGCGCCCCTGGAGCAGTTGGGGTTGAGGGCCTTGCTTAGGGGCCCAACGGAGTAGGATTCCTCTCCCGGCTGCGGGATTTGAACTGGCAACCTTCCAGTCACAGGCACAGATCCTTAGCCACAGAGCCACCGCTCCGCCCTACGTACGCCCTACGAGGCCCTTCCTACCTCAGAGTGTACAATAAATCGAGTGCAAAAACTGACAGGGCCCACTTCAACCTTTCTGATACAACAACAAGTATCTATGTGACAACTTTTTCAATCTTTCAAGTGCTAACACCCCAACCTAACTGAACTTGGGTATGATAACGACAGAGAAGGCACTGATGGAAGATAGAAACTACCAACTTATTTTTAAAACTCCAGTCCTTAGTGTCCTCCTGGGCACCCAGTTCTTTAAAAGGTAAGGCAATTTTATCAAAATTGGACTGGAATTTCCCAATGGGCAATGTCTGGGCAAATTGCCTGGGTAATTCTTCTCCTGTATGGTTGGCCATTGGCCCAGTTTGCCTTCAGGGAAACAAAAGAACAATTATGATTTCAACTCCCTACCTGATCTTTATTGCGTTACGAAAGATGGTGGAAATGTTGAACCTGTCCCCAAATATGATGAGAGCTGACAAATACCCTTCGACAGGATGCAAGACTTCTTCTAAGGAGATGCAGAGAAAACTCGAAGGCAAACACGAATCCCACTGAAGACCAGCTTCATTAAAAATGTGCTCAAAGCTGACATGACGCCTTATACAATTTCTGTCAGCACCTGGAAGAACCTTTCAGCACTGGGAGCTGTTTTTTTTTCCAGGAACAGATTTTCAAACAAATGCACCTACAATGAACAATTCCCACTTAACAGGTTAAGCTACAAAAAAGGCAGTATACTAAGTAGAATTAGAATGCAGGTTGTGGCATGAAGCCATCTTGACACCTAGTGTTCTTCCAAGCAGGATCAGATGCTTAATTATAAGTACACTATAGGTAAAGGCAGCTAATAGAGTCTTAAACTCATTTTTCAGGGGTAGTTTACCTCAGCTGTTTCAAAACGGATCACTGCATTTATTGTGCTAAGTGAAAGCTTTTTACATTCCATAAAAATCCATCTAGAAGCTTCTGAGTTATCAAAACATTTCCAGAAATTACTGAGTATTGTACAGACTGTTTAAAGGACCTGCAATGGAATAGAAATATTGAAATCGCCTACTGTGGAATACGCTTTTAAGCGTCAAACTCAGAGATCAGTAGAGTTGCTAGCCTGAATTTACCAGGTGTGGTAATGTATCAACAGAGAGACAAAAGTTTCAAATGTGCCATTAAAATGAACATATGTGCACCGTTCGGTGGTGGTTTCCATGACAAGACGCGAATCTCAGTTGTTCTACTGCAAAAAGAAGGCTGTGGTACGGCAGGAAAATGACATCCCAGGGTGTATCAGGGTACTAAGCTGTTTAGTCCCCGCTGCCAAGGTCTAACAGCACAGAACTTTCATCCCCTACCTTGGAAAGGTCCGGGCCTGTAGCTGCCGGACAAACACAGAGGTCCCAGCCTGAACTGGTTTGGTGCCATCGTCGGGCTCAGTGTAGTCGTGTCGGTGCCAATTATTGCGCTTCTTCACTGAAAGAGGACACAGGGAGGTCAGTTCCATTTAAACGCGCGAAACGCATTCCGCTTTCTCTCCGTTTTACGTCAACGACGTCGGTGAAATCAATTCCACAGCAAAACCGGGAAAGCCCAAAAAAACTATATTTAAGGAAGCTGTATCTATGACCTTTTAGATTCCCAAAACTCCAAATATGGTCCCAGTTTGTGGTGGAATGATTCCTCTATGTGACTGAATATTCAGACATCTGTAAAGAAGCATATAACAGGTGGCCAAATAAAACAAAAATCCCCTTTTCGTAAAATATGGAATAGAAATTCTTCAAATGGACCTTTTTCCACATAACGCAGATAAAAGTCTTAACACAAAAGAGTGCTACAAAATTCCTCTGTTTTTTTAGACCAAGAAGAGCATTTTGTAGATGTGTCCACAGTTTGTGAAGTCATTCCTCCTCCTGTAATAATTCAGTGGCCAAAAGGGCTTTCTGAGAAAATAAATTAGCTAAGAGTCAGTTAGCTTATTGTTGAACACAGAGCAGCTCTACTCATATTGACTTTTATTCAATTTCTATTACATCTATTATTATGTAACCTTATTTTCATAACCTCAATTTTGTGATTTTTGTGTTTTTGTGATTTTTGCGAGCTCGCGGAAAAGACATTTCATTGCCAGCAACGACTGCTGCACGCTGTATTTCTGTGCATTTCGTAAATAAACTTTGATGTGATTTTTGATTTATAAAGAATTAGGAACAGAATGGTGATTTGCTTTTTATTTGGTAAAAGGATTGTTGTCCTCATGCATCCTCTTGCATTGAACAGTACCACGATCTTCAAATCTGATTTATTAGGATTTTTTTATGTCTCTTGCAATCGGGATCATTAAGCAGTGAAAAAGGTCTGTGAACATCAGAAGAGTCACCACCCCTTTTACAATAAAGGCATTTTTATTCTTATTCATTGATTAGAGAGCTATTCAATTACCCATCGTTCACTCATACTGACCCATGACAGATTCTCGGAGGGCTTACCGGTTCTTGGAAGCGTAAATCAAAGGAGGGAGAGCTCGTTAACACTCGTTATACCCCTGCGACCATTACCGCGTGCGCCGAATAACAAAGAGAAGGCACTTACTCAGGGAGGGTCCATGTATTTTGTCACAGTTAGGACAGTGGTAGACGTCAATATCAACAGCATGGTGCTCCTCCACTTGAACACAGCTGAAGAGGGGAAACAACAAAAGCAGTCATGAGAAGAAATTCTGCTAACAACCATCACAACAAAAGCATGCTATGATGACCAAAGTGTCGCAGGTAGCAGAGAGCTACAGGACTATCTGGTCTTACTGAGTCAATTAGTACAGCTGTTCTTATGTGAACCACCTAGAGATGTTAACCGCCATTTCACAATGGCGGTTAACAGACAACTTTCAAACCAAAATGAGATGCCATTCTAAGAGAGATAAAGTGTGTGACAAGACTGTCTACGAATGTTATAAACACCAACTTCTCCTCAAAGAGCTGCGCTACCCCTTCTCTTATGGAACAAATCTTCAGTAGTCAAGAGTCAAGGTTTACCAAAATACCATATGTTGGACTTGTATGTAGGCTGTTCATATTTCACAGCCCATTAATGAACTAAGTAAAAAATGTTGCCAAACACCGGGTGCTTTATAGAAAATGTAATCAAAGGATATTGCAATCTGCAATGGATTAAAGCAGAACTCTCCTTATTTGCTCATTTACAAACAACTTATGTGGAATTTTGTCTACGTGGACATCTTAGTAGTGCCTTAAAAATTTTGAATAATACATTAAAGTCAAACTATTCAATACAGAAGGCCGGAGGACTGTTACGCTTAGATGCACGGACTACTTTGACTACTCCTAAACAGCACAGAGTACCTAAATGGAGTTTAATGTTTAAGCAGTACATTCTTGAGTTGCACAGTTCTGTTGTCTGAAGAGATGCATAGTCACGTAAACAACTGCCAAACTGAACTGAATTACTGCGAGGTATGTACTGTAGCCACTGTGTGAAGAAGTTAAAAGCATAAATTAAGAACGTCCAAACATAGGAATCAGGATACACAGGACAAATACCATTTCACTCTGTCAAAGCTTACCTATATGAAAGTTTTTGACTGTCATCTTATTATGAATATCATAGTCATCTTAATTATGAGTAATCCGGGGGGGGTAATTTTGTTAATTCGTAACAGGATTTTAAAATGAAACTTGAGAAACCTTACCTAAACAGTGGCTACTCAACTGAATGCATTTGATCATTAACTTTTGTGTAAGTCTCTGTGCAGACATGAAATCGCCTCAGTCCCTGTACAGTCACTGTGCGTTTCTTCTTCCTGGCTGGCGTGGGCTCTGTCTCACAGAGGGTCTCCTGGGTCCCGTCTTATTCCAAACAACAAAAAAATTGCCCCATTTAAGGCTCAGCAGCTGCTGTTTTATACCAATTTCCAGACACAGCACTGTCGGAGCTACGCCAGTCAGCTTAGTAGGCACAGCAGTACCAACCAGCGCAAATCAACAAGGTAGCTCACAGATCCATTAAACTGTCACGAATTGTTTATATGCATGCATACCAACCGCCTAAAAATCCAGAAACAAAGCTTACAAGTTCAGTTGATATCACTAAAATGAAGCAGTACACAGAAGTTAAAAAACTGTATATACTTCTTGTACTAAGGAACCATGAAAAATTGTAAATTGGATACAGAGAAGGTTGTATAATACAGTACATATACAGTATTGTGTGTCAAAGCTACAGTACTGTAATAATAATAATAATAATAATAATAATTGCTTAAACTTATATAGTGCTTTCCTGGACACTCCACTCAAAGCGCTTTACAGGTAATGGGGACTCCCCTCCACCACCACCAATGTGCAGCATCCACCTGGATGATGCGACGGCAGCCATAGTGCGCTAGAACGCTCACCACACATCAGCTATCAGTGGGGAGGAGAGCAGAGTAATGAAGCCAGTTCATAGACAGGGATTATTAGGGGGCCATGTCCCCGTCACTATACTGGGGCATTAGGATCCACATGGACCGCAGGGTGAGTGCCACCTGCTGGCCCCACTAACCTTAGTTTTTCCCAGGAGGTCTCCCATCCAGGTACTGACCAGGCTCACACCTGCTGAGCTTCAGTGGGTTGCCAGTTGTGAGTTGCAGGGTGATATGGCTGCTGGCCGTACTATCTAGTCTTAATGAGTTGAGGTTTAGCTCTTGTTTCAAAAGCAACCTACTTACAGAAACTTTGGAATTACGTTTATGCTTCCACATGAGTGCCAGCTATGCTTTCTCTGTATAGTCATTTCAAATGCTAAAAGTTGTGCAAATGCCAACTCAAAATCAGAAGCTGGTTTGCTGCTTTTCCCAGTTTTTCAGGCTTAACGTGTATTCACAGACACAAGTCAGAGGGTTAGTAAACCAGTGAATCAGGTTAGATGCAGTGAAGACTGAAATTTTATTACAGTAATCACAACAGCTGAAACTGGATGTTCATACTCATTGAACTAAACAGTACATACAATTAACTTTTTTTGCTCTATCTGTAGGGGAATTATCCATAAAATAAACCATAACTGAAGACTAATTTGTTTTATTACATATTTTAGATGCTCAAAGAGGAATTGTATTACTAAAGGACATATCATGAGCAGAAAACAGATGAGAAAAACAAGGACAGAGAACATAATTATGTAATTATGTACATAATTCAATACATAACTTGTATTAGTCGATGAAGAGCAAAAAAAGGCAAACGGATTAGTCACAACTTTACTGAAACACTCTTTAAAGTACACGGTACAACACCATGTTAATGGCAGCCATCTGGGGCAAGGCAAGGGAAAATTGCTAGAAAAAGGACCATTGACCATAATGAAAGATATGGAAATTCAATTCCAAAAATTCCTCTACTGCTCGGCACAAGAGGTCACGTTCTGAAGCACTGCAGGACAGGAAAATCAACTCTGACCTGTGGCTGCAGTCAGCTGTGACTTTCAACTCTCAGCAACTTACTGTTCAAATGAAGAGAAACTGATTGGACTTCAAAAGGGGCTTACTTAGCCAAAGCTAATGGCAACACTTTCCAGAGAACAAAGGGTTTTGCAAAAGAAGTGGGCTGCAAAAGTGAAAGACAGCATAGCACTGACATAAAAAAAATGCATGATGCAGATTTCCAAAGCTTCATCAGTCTTTGGCTTTACCGACAAGAAACTAGCATAAACCACCTTAGTTCTGGACAAACAAAGCATCAACCACATATCGAGCGTCTCCCTGCTGTGTGACAACATACAGTACAAGGCTGATGGTCTCAGTGAGCTTTATCAAAGCAGCCGGGTAGTGGGATTAAGATTAAGACAACACCAGGGGCGCGTTTTAGTGGAAAAACAAAGGAGTCACCAGTTCCAGTAACAGCCTGGTGAAAGGTCCAGTAGATGTATTTACTGGGAGGACATTAACATCAAGAAATTTGGATGAAAGGATTGCTGAAGGTCCTGTACTGCTTTCTCTTTGCCAAGTCTGTTGTGTGATCAGATGGAATATTTTGATATATAAAATGCAAATGGGCTCAATGGTTTTAATCGACCGAGCTTCACAGTTGTGGACAATTATACGGCACAGCGCTCTTCCCTAGTGAACACGGTTGAACTCATTTGATCATTTCCCCCCTGTTTTTCTGCTGGGATGTACACACTGCACCATCAAATTGTGCCTTGTTAAAAGAGGGGAAGCTTTTACTGGGTGGAAAAGATTCTCAACGGCAATGATTCGAGTTTAATTTAGGCGTTTCTACTCAAAGATTTATACTGCAAGATCTACATTAATGTTAGAATTACAATCTTGTCCGTACTGACCCAGAGTCAAGACACCTCCTTCTCTACAAGCTATGCAGTCAGCTCTTTCATCTAATTTAATCAAAGATTACAGAACAGGATAAAAAAAAAACATTCATCAATTCAGTCCTTACCCCTGCTTTCCTCTATAGGCCAATAACCAGACAGCAATTTGAATCCAGAAATGCAACACTTCTTGTTTCTTGTTTCCAATCCAAAAAGATTTCTTTTAGTGCCGAGATTCGTATTTTCCCCAGTTGTGCTTTTTGCCGTGCTGTGGAAGCTCACTTGGTTAGGCCTGATGTTTAAAAGTCTGGAAAGCCATATAGCAATGTGTTCGCTTGAGTAGCCACTGTTAAAAAAAATGATAACGATGAACTCCTTAGACGTAGCTCTTCTGAACAGTCCACTCGAAGCGCTTTACAGGTAAAGGAGACCCTACTCCACCAGCGCCAATGTGTAGCCCCACCTGGATGATGCAAGAGCACCAGTACGCTCACCACACATCAGCTATCGGCGCGGAGGAGAACAGAGTGATGAAGCCAGTTCTGAGATGGGGATTTATTAGGAGGCCATGACTGGTAAAGGCCGGGAATCTGGCACCGGGATTAACACCCCTACTCTTTTTGAGAAAGGTCCTGGGATGAAGTCAAATCCAGAAGTATCTTCTTTCTGTGACACCTTGTGAACAGAGGCTGGGGCGACAGTGGGGGGGGGAGGGGGAGGTCACAACCCCCGTGGGCCCCCCCTGCCTGACCCCCAGCACCACAGCGACAGTCTTAAAGGAGAAGGAAAGAGGGGGAAGGGCGACCCCCTCACCAGGCCATTCACAAAATGAAGAGCCCTGCTCGGGAAACAGAAAGCAAACCCACCGACACCCTTCTGCGAAATGAGCTGTAGCGCACATCCCTTCAAACTTTTTTTTTAATATTCTACTCTGGAGTGCAGCGTCATTCCGGCTGCAGAGAGAATGACAAGCGAGAGGCGGCACTAGGGCCCAGACCTGAGGCTTGCCCTCCCACACACCTGCTGCCCCGAGTCTTCTCTCCCCAAAATCATTTCCCACTCTGCCGACAGATTCCACGCACGGGCTCCGACAAACATTGAAGCCAACTTTAACCCGACACCGGCAGAGAGCAGCTGACCAGCCCGAAGCACCAGCAAGGTAAATAAAACCGTAGGGACGGAGATAAGGAGCTCAGATTTCACACAGAGCTTTTTGAACACAATAGCCTTTTTGCTCTGGAAGCTTCCATTCAGTTTGGTCCTCAATAAGGAGAAGTGGTTTTCACCTCTGTGCCGCACAGCCCCTGGCAGCGTGGGGACCCTGGGTTCAATTATGGGTCTGCTGTCTGCA